CATCCATAATTCCAGCTCCTTGGGAGGCTGGGGCAGGAGGATTTACTAGTACTTAATTCAAAGCCAGCCTAGGCAACTCAGCAAGACCTTATTCCAAAATAAAAGTATGCAAAAGAGCTGGGCAGAGCACTTGCCAGCATGTACAAGGTCCTGGATTCCATCCACAGTACCATCATAAATAAATAAATAACTCTCCCATCGAAGTTCAAATAGCTTTAAAAGTACATAGCCAAGGGAAATGGTGCTTGCTGTATCCAGCTGACTTCAACTTCTCCATTTCGCGCCATTGCCATATGTTAATGGTGGAGCTTGTAGTGGGAGACTCATTAGAGGAACTGAGAAGTGACCATCAAAAAGAAGTTGAGGCCCAGAAGCGGCAGCAGGGGATGAAGACCACAGGGGTTCAGCACCGTCATGGAGAGCATGGGAAGTCACAACCCTGTGGGCTGAGATGGGCAGGAAACGCTCCTTCCTTGGCTCTTAAGACTTCTCAAAACTGTCTGTGAAACTGTGAGACCGGTGGGGTTGTTGGACAACATAGCTGGAAAAGAATTTCAACGGGAAATGGTGCTGGCTGTCAGGGTAAAGATAAAAGTCAAACCAGGAGTGGCAAAGATATAGAATTTTCTCACATGCAGACAGAAGATCTAAATCAGCAGTTCTCAAATTTTTGGTTACAGCACTCTGCAGAGTTACTGACAGGGCTAAAGAGCCTTCATTGCTATAAGTTTTGTCCCTCAGCGTGTACTCCAGGAGAGGTTAAAACTGAGACAGTCTTAAACAAGGGCAAGCATTTCCCTGACTATCTCACCTTATGTGGCCTGTAGAAAAATGTCATCTTGTCCTCAAGAGAATACGAATTCAAAAAGCAAGTCAGGTGCAGTGGCACATACCTGTAGTCCCAGCTACCCAGGCGGCTGAGGGAGAAGGATTGTTTGAACCCATGAGTTTGAGGCCAGTTTGGGCAACACAATGAGGTCACATCCAAAACACAAATCAACTTAAAAGGCAAATAGCATTGTCGTATTGTGACAAAAGTAATTTTGACCTCATAGGTCCCCCAAAAGGGTCTCAAGAACCCCCAAGTATCTCTGAACACAAAGCACTTTGAGAAGCACCAACATAGGCCAAACCTTGAGTTTTCTGGGGTCTCCTCAAGGGCCACCAGCTTGTATTTGTCAAGAAAAGAGGCCAACGGACAGGCCAAGACTTCCCACCCTTTCCCCACTGGAGAAACACATTTTAAAATTTTTCTTAATATTTTATATACATTTATATGCCACATGATGATGCCTCCATCAGCATCATATGTACGGTAGAGTCACAGAAGACTGTACCACCTGGTAATGTCGGGGCCTTTGTGTCCATATACCTTACGATTGTCACTCAACAATGAAATTCCCTGAAAGCATCACTCAAAATACACCCCACTGGTATGTGGTACATACGCTTGCATTCTGGAGCCATCTTCCTTTAAATGTGGAATTCCATGGCAAAAAAAAAAAAAAGTGCGCAGTTTTTAAACCACTGTTAGAATGTGTATTTCATGGACCAGTTCATAACACAGAAAAGAAAGCTAAGCATTAAAAAAATATGGTCTTCATTTTTAAAAGAGGGATATGTTTCAGTTTAGAATCTATATTTTAGTTGCAAGAACAATATACACACTTTTCTTTAAAAAATATGAAAAGTTTTCAAGTGAAAAAAATTCATAAAGTATATACCAGCAAAGAATGTACAGTGTAACATATGTAGCATATTACAGAAGTATTCTGTTATGACTGTTTTATAAGTAAATGCATTTATTCAGAAATCATTTGCTAAATACGTACTTGAAGGCCCGGCACTAAGCGAGGCTCAGCCTAATGCTGGGGATCAAACCCACAGCTCACACATGCTAAGCAAGTACCCTGCAACTGTGCCCACACATGCCCTCTACATTTGAAAAACTTAGCCCATTTGTTTTGGAGGTTACCAAAGCAGTAGAGGGATAAGCAGAGTGGGTATTGTCTGCAGCCGCCTTGGGGATGCTGGATGAACTCCAGCGCTCCGCTGTGGCAGTTTTAAGAGAGGGAGTTGTCTCTGTTCAGGGAAGCCTCGAAGCTGGAATCTGTCTTTAGGTCATGCACTGCGATGCTGAATTACAGGACAGATTCCAAGGGCTCTGGGCTTTGGCGTCCAGAAGGTTTAAGCGAGCCTCATAATAACTTCTGCTTAGTATAAAGAAAAAAGAGCTATAAACATGAAAAGGTTTAGGGGCTAAAAGTGCTAATGATTAAGTAAGCCAGCTTTTCAGCTTTTCCCTAAAGAACACACACACAGAAATGTACACAAAGCCAGGCATGGTGGTGCACACCTGTAATTCCAGCACTTGTGAGGCTGAGGCAAGAGGATCATTGAAAGTTTGAGGCCAGCCTCAGTAACATAGTGAGTTCAAGGCCAACCTGAACTGTACAGTGAGACCCTGCCTCAAAAAAGAAAGAAAGGAAAGAAGGAAGGAAGAAGGAAAGAAGGAAGGAAGGAAGGAAGGAAGGAAGGAAGGAAGGAAGGAAGGAAGGAAGGAAGGAAGGAAGGAAGGGAGAAAGAGAACAAGAAAGAAAGAAAATAAGAAGGAAAGAAAGAAAGAGAGGAAAAATGTATGCTTAAGTCTACCAGCATGCCAGTAACAGGCCGTTCCAAATCCTCTGTCTGTCTCCACAAAGTCACTACCTATCCTTTCTGGGAAGTTGCCCTCTGGCTCCTCAGAGTCCAGGTTGCCTTTGCCATCTCTGTGCTTTGCGCTGACAGAGGCATGCAGCGTATATTCATTTATATCTGACTTCTTCCACTCCGCACCATACTGTGAGAGTCAACCAAGTTGCAGATGGGCCCAGAGCCCATCCTTCTCAGCACACCACACCACTCCCCCACAGTAGGAATGTCTCAGTTTGTGTCCTGTTCTACTGTTGAGGAAGTTGAGTCATTTCTCATGTAGGCTTTTATCTATAGAACAGACAAGAACTTCTCTCATGTACACGGAGGGATCGCAGATGAAGTCACCCTCCGCTTTCCCCTTTAAGCAGGTCTGACCAAAGGAATTTTTTGTTTTCTTTCCAGTCAGTGTGAGAACTGCTCTGACTATAAATTTAGCGTTCATAATTTGCACTGAGTTACAAAAAGGAAAAGGGGTTTATGTTGGACAACTGGCTCTTATGGACTCTCTTCCTAATTCCAAAGAAACTGATCCGACTCTTGGTGGTGACCGTATCTCAAAGGAAGGACCGTGCTCCAGGTTTATTTCCGGCGCTGTGACAGCGTCCTGCACACAGGGCTGCTCATCAGTGTTGGGTCCTGGCAGACAGACAGACGATGGGTAGAAGAGGAAGCAGCACTCAAACAGGATCTAAGAAAGGGGGAAGGCCCCTGAAATTACCACTTTACAAAATAAAACAATGTTTAGGCACAGAATAACACGATTTCTTATTCACACATCCCACCTCTGACATTAATCAGAGCCTTCACCTATGTGCTCTATTCCATGACATCTTTTCCACCCCTGGTGTAGTTCACAGATTTTCTTACTTTGAAGTACAAGAAGGGGGAAAGAAAAGACAGAACTGTCGCTGCCCTAAAAGGAATGAGGAAGTGAGAGCTCTGCAGTGTTTGGCTAGCTCTGTCGGTGTGACAGCCCATGATGGTCTTTCCGGTCCCAGTAATATTCTGAATTTCCACCTGCCTGCCCCCGCCACTTATAACACACAGCACGTGAAGTTAGAGCCGCTCCGTCTCCTCTCTGCCAGTGGATTAGTAACAGCAGAGTGTCATGCTGTGTCTGCTGCTTCCCCCGGTTCAGCAGAGGTAAAAGAGCTCTGGCTAGAGACCTTCCAAGGGTAAGTACTATAGATTAACAGGACCAGAAAATACACAGCCAAAGACAGATATGTCAAAGAATATGTGGCAGAGTTAGACTGAACACAGAACGCTTGACTTCAGTAAGAAGGCTGCACTTTTTTTAGATGCAGGAATTCTGTAATATTATCTCTGGTTTAAGTTTACTGTCATGGGAATAAGCAGCATCATGGGAATACATTTTTTTCTTTCTTTCTTGGGCTCAGTGAAAAAATCTGTGCAGAGCACTTAATGCAGTACTTATGAGCACTTAAAAATTGTTAGTCATTACTGTGAATGATATTCAGATTATCTCTTGAATGGGAATGTAATAGTGAATAACAAAGTTGGGGCGGTCAGGACATGTGGCTTAAAGCATTTAGAAATTAAGTGTGTCTAGTTGTTGTTTTCAATAGCATATGACATTTGGCGACAGGCTGATTTTAAATGAAAACTTTCCTGATAGTGTTTTGGCAAAGTGGGACCAATACTGGCCAACTTATTCTGTTGAGCAGTTATACCAGTTCATAACTCTCTTCTGTGTGTTTTGTGTAGACGGAGTCAGAGCCTCACAAGAGTGAGACTTAGCCCTGGATCGGCAGCCCCTACTCCAATGAAGTTGATAAGCAGCTTCGATGCTGTATGTACCCTTTCGCATTTATACTCATTCATATTTTCTAGAGGAAGAGCCAATAATATTTACTTAATTTTATTTTTTTTCCCCTCTTTTAGCCCAAAACACTAAATGCCAATAATATGGAGACTTTGGTCAAATGTCAGTCAGAGGTAAGGAAGCAATTTTTTATTTCATTTGCTCTGTGAGAAAATGGAAAGCTTTCTGTTGTGAGGGAATGTTATTCTGCTTAGAGAATAACAAAGTAGAAAATTGACATCATCCATAGAGAATACCAAGATGAAAAAAATGTGCGGGTGTGTGTTGTAAAGAAAGACTGGATAGGTTTAGTGATTATTTTAACTGAAACAACTATATATTTTAGGGTGACATCAAGGAACATCCCCTCTTGGCATCGTGTGAGAGTAAAGACAGCATCTGCCAGCTGATTGGTGAGTTTTGAAAACATACTGATCTCTTTTGTAAGTGCTAATAACCGGTGTTCTTGGTTTGCAAAACCACAGTGCTTTTACTCTACTAGGAATTTGTTTCTAAGTGTTCTGTTCCAGACCGCAGCACAGAGCGTTAACACTTAACTGGCAGGCAGGCTCCAGCGAGCTAGCGCGGGGAGCGCCCTCAGAGGAAGGACCCTGTTACAGCCGCTCCCCGCACTGGGCAGGAGGTTTCCAGGGGGCTGGAAAATCTCCTGGACATCTATGCTTTGCTAACGAAAGCACGGGTGCATTTGAAAAACACGGTGCCTTCTCCACTTACTTTCTTTTCTAATGGAGAATGCATCTAAGAACCCACAAAGCAACTGTTGCTGATCTCAAAGAACCTATCATCTGCTCTCACATTTTTCATAATATATTCCACTGTAACATAACCGGGACGCAGGACTCCAGAAGTACCAGTTCAGGCCGTTTCACTCTCATTCTTCTTCCACTTGCTAGTATAAAATGTGTAGGAGCGTGTGCCAATCATTTAGAAAACATAGCTTTTATAACTGGGAAAAAAGAGGAAGGAGGGAGGGAGGCAGAGGAACTGTCGACATGCAGTGCGCATTACAGACATGCCTCCTGGATCTTAGAAGAGCAGACTACTAGGTAACAAGTTACTTATAATTTCAAACTGTCAAGCCCGGGGTGCAGCCTTCCCGCAACCACCTGACCCCTGTCTTGTGACAGCTGCAGGGGAAAGCCCGGGGACCGCAGGTGCATGAGTGATTTAGCTCCCTCTAGTGGCCGCCTACAGCTAGCGTGAGGAGAAGGGCTGCGGGCCGGCTTTGCTGAGAGCCTGCAAAGGGATCTTGAGCAAGTCACTTCCTCTCTGTAACCTTTCGTTTTTGTCACCAAAGGAAGAAATTGAAATAATCTATTCAATCAGAGAAACGCCCCCAGTAGTCGCTAAGGCTAGTGTGTTAAGCTGGCTGGTTTTTCACCTGTACAGTTGGGTTTTTTTATTTTCTGTAGTAAATTGCTAGAAAAGATAAAAACAGGAAAGGTGGGGCCTTTGAGGAACCCCAGTGTTGATGCTTAGGGGCCGGTTGCCCTGATAACAGTGTGGTTGCTGGGAGTTGGTTTTTCTAGATCAAGAGTCACGCCTTTGCTCTCCGGGTTTTTCAAAATTACTTCTCCCCACATGGCATACTACAGGTGACAGGCTGTAACCGGTGTGAGCATTTTCTTACGTGGGTTTTTACGTTGTGCCATGATGGTCTGACTTTTCTCCTTCTCTCATTTTCTTGGCTGTAGAAATTAGGAAGAGAAAGACAGGGCGGCCCTGGCCCTTTCTCACGAGAAAGCTCTCCCCTTCGTCCGATTTCTCTGGGGTATTGGAGCCGGAGTTGAAAGTGCCTCTGTTTGATCAGCCTTTGTCAACGATCTGCAGCGAGAGTGGCACACTCCCCAGACCCATTCAAGTAAGTGTGTGTTTGCTTGTGAGCCTACTTCACTTTCCTATTGGAAGTGAAAGAAAAAAATCCTTGGGAAATCTGAGTGTAATTCTCATACTAAACTCACTGGGGATGATCTTGCTAGTCTTCGAAATGATGCTCCCACATCCAAGTGCAGTCAGGAGAATATCTGCCTGCTGAAGTACTAGACATTAGGTCTATTAGTCAGTCAGCTCAGAGTGATGGTCTCACCCTCATCCCTCTGACTCCACAGAGATAAGATAGCTGAAAATGTGTAGCTTCTAAAGGTCAACACGTAGAGGTAGAGTATAGCAAACATCAGAAAGCCAGTGTTTACATGGAAGTATTTGAAAGGCGGGAGGCCTCATAGTAATTTTAGAATGTACAGAATTAGAACTTCAAGTCCTAGAGAGATGGCAGTGAAGGGAGACAGTTGATAACAATTGAATCGGAGACCAATACAGTCTCAATACTCTTCTTAAGACCTTTTTAATATGCTGGGCCTGGTGATGCACACCTGTAATCCCACCATTGTGGGAAGCTGTGGCAGAAGGGTTGCAAGGTTGAGCCCAGCCTGGGCAATTTAAACAACTTAGCAGGACTCTGTCTCAAAATTTTAAAAACATTTTCAAGGCTGAGGATGTAGCTCAGTGTGCCAGGAGCAAAAGAAAGAAGACTTTCAATAAAAGAAGGAGAACCAGATTTTATGGGGAAGATATTTGATGGTAGATGAAATTAGGGACTGTTCATGTACATTATTTTAATTCTCTTTCTCCACCCTACAGAAAGATTTTCATGTTTTTGTTTCCAAAAAGGATATGTGTGTGTCTCCAAGCCATGGAGTGATCATTCCTGTTCCTATACCTGTTCCCACAGGACATCCTCACTATCCTCTGCCTTAAAGGCCCGTCTACAGAAGGAATATTCAGGAAAGCAGCCAGCGAGAAAGCCCGCAAGGAGCTGAAGGAGGAGCTGAACTGCGGGGGCGCAGTGGACCTGGAAGGGCTCCCCGTGCACCTGCTGGCTGTGGTCCTGAAGGTGAGTCTGCCATGTGTGAAAAGAAGCTGCCAGGAGGTTCTCACACACGCCTCCTCGGGAACAAGGAGTGGGATCCCCTCCCTGCAGGCAACATCAGCTCATCTTGGAGTTTAATTTTTTTAGTTAAACCTTTTAGTTATTTATAGAGACGCCTCTGTTTTCAGTGATCCCAGATTTCAACAAAGTTCTTAAAATTTGATGAGAAAATGCAATTTGATAGTCTTGAGATCAGGTCTATACCCTAAATCTGGTTCCTCCAGACTTCACCCACCTGGAAATGGTGCTTCTTACTCTGCCCATTGCCAGGAAGGTCCTGAGGCACACTGGGAGTCTGAAAGAGGCTCCCTGAGTCTGACCACAGGAGGCCTGGTGGGGCAGTCTGGGACAGGGGAGGTGTGAGGACACAGAGGGAGCGAAAGCAAGGGGAAGCCCTGCACTGGCACCCGAGGAGATGAAGCAGCTGACACTCCCTCTTCTCTCCCTCAGGACTTCCTCCGGAGCATCCCCCTCAAGCTGCTCTCCTGTGACCTCTTTGAAGAGTGGATGGGTGCCCTGGAGAAGCAAGATGAAGAGGACAGAATTGAAGCCCTGAAGCAGTAAGTCCTCAAAGTCATGCTGAGGCCAGGCCTGCGTCTCCATCTTTTCCTCCTTTGCAGAGCTGTCAAAGTGATTCTTGATTCATGTGTCATAGAAATGATGACACTGAGAGCATCTATGTGGAATTGCTCATCCACTCCCAGAATAAACACTAGGAGATGCCCGGATGATTAAAAGTAGTTTTAGGTGCCCCATTAGCACAGTAGGTAGTGTGTCAGTCTCATAAAAGTAGTTTTAGCCATGAGAAAGGTACTTCGTCAAGAACTAGAAAGTGACTTTTAACACTGGCAAATCCCAAGAGGTGGTGGGAGGTTCTAGGGAAAGATAAAAATACAAGGAATTCTAAAAGGCTTGAGAAAAGCAATCACACCTGAGCACTTTAACGCAGGCTAACCAGCAGAGTGTAGAAATTTTGATTATCCTTAACTTTTACTGATTAGGGCCATGCAAGGTAATAATTCTCCCATAAAACATTTCCTAGTGCAATTTGGAAGGAATTATGTTGTTCATAAAATTCCATAACATATCTTGTATTCTTATATTTAAACAAATGAAAACTATGTAAGAACAAATTCCAGTGAATAACAGTAATTATATGTGTAAATGAAAGCGTGACCCATCAGGGATTAGCAAATCCTAAATTCATAACCTTAAAATGGCAGTGCTTTTGCCACATACTAAGAAAATCTGTCCATATAATTATCCCCTGTGGCTAAATATTTTAAGTGAAACATGTGTGGAAGTGAAAACAACAGTATCCTCTCCAAAAAAATTCCTAAAATTATTACAAGTTTCCACCTGCATTCTTCTATAGCAATAATTCTGAGAAATTAAAAATGATCCATTACTACATTGGAGTACCATTAAAGTTTTTGAGAAAGTGGGACTTTTAAAAACTCAAATTAGTCACGTGTGGTGGCCCACACCTGTAATCCCAGCACTCAGGAGGCAGAGGCGGGAGGATCACTGAGGCCAGCCTGGACTACTTTGCTAGATTCTGTTTCAAATAAATAAATAAATATATACATACATAAGCTCAAATTTATTATTGTTAGTAACAATATTGGTATTTACATACTACCTTGACCGTACTTGTGAACATGCCTTTATACACTGATTTATTCTCTGTAGAAATTGCTCAGAGTGGCAGAAAAAAAATGGTTCATGATTATTTGGTGATCACAGTTCAAAAAAAAGGCGAGAAAACCAGTCTTGTAGTCTTCAAAGCCGAATTTCTGCATAGTTAAATGACTATCCAATGAAATGATTTTCAAACTGTAAAGGCAAACTCTGTTGTTTGATGCAAGCTCTGATTTATAATTTAAGATTCACATAAAAAATAAAAGGTGGTGCTCCTGGTGTCCCAGGCACAAAGACCTGGTGGCTACCCAGTCTTCTTCTGTGTCAGTGGCTGCTGGAAGTGTCTGAACCATATTTCACACTGTTGGTTGTGAAAATGCTCCTTCCTCATTTTAAAGGAAGTCTGGTTTTGGCAGAAACTTCCAACAGGCTATGTGCAAGCTAGATAAGCTATTGGCCACTTTGAAACTGAAACCCCTTCCCTCTATTCCAGGGTTGTAGGTCAGCTCCCCCAGCCCAACCTCCTGCTGCTGAAACACTTGGTGCCCGTGCTGCATCTGATCAGCAAGAACTCCGAGGTCAACAAGATGGACTCCAGCAACCTCGCCATCTGCATTGGACCCAACATGCTCACCCTAGAGAATGACCAGAACTTGTCATTTGAGGCACAGAAAGACTTGAATAATAAGGTAGGTTCTGTTTTTTTTTTTTAATGCGAAACTCAATTTATGATCTCAACTTCTCTTTGCAAAAGCCCAAGCAATGAAATACTTCTGAATTTCTCAAAATGACTCAGAGTAGCAGTGAAAATCTAAAAGGCAGACTGTTTTTGTCATAGTTCCACTTTCTTAGAGAATGCATGTGATGAAGCAGAATAAATCTGCCTCTTCTGTCATCCTAGAAAGCATTACTTCCTGCCAATCCAGCAATCAGTGTGGGAAACAGCTTGCATAAATGAAAAATTCAGTTACTTTAAAGTACAATTTTTTAACTCTCTAATTTAAAATGCCTGTCTCAAAATAAGCAAATAATATCTAACTTTAATATATTTGTGTATCAAATTTCTATCTGCTGTTTTCAGACACATAAAAATATCCAGTTCTCTTGGAACTTCCCTAAGAGTTGACCACCAATATGGCCTCATCCCTTGCCCTTCCCTAAAAAAAATGTCCTTAAGCTGACAACCTGCTTATTTTTCCTCATAGGTGAAGACATTGGTGGAATTTCTCATTGACAACTGCTTTGAAATATTTGGGGAGAATATTTCAGCTCATTCCAGCACCCGTATTGCTTCTGATGACTCTCTCGAGCACACTGACAGTTCAGGTACATAATGTGCTGTCATTTGATTACATGATTCTGGACAGAAGTTCCTGCCAATCAGCTAGTTCATGCTAGTAATGTAACGTATCCCTGGTATTTGAAATAGAAACCACCTTCACCATCACCAAGCCAGACTAGACTTTAGTAAGGAATTTGCTGAACATGAAAACTTGGCCCTTCATTTTCCCAAAACACCTCCTCAGACTGTGGATACTCTTTCAATGTCAGTCTAGAACTTTCTCCTTCTTATTCTAAACCTCTTTCTCTTCCTTCTTCTCTTCCTTCTTCTTTCTCTATCTCTCCCTCCCCTTTTTACCTCCTCCATCCCTCATTCATTTCCTTTTCCTACTTTCTTCTCATCTCAAGATAAATTTGCAAAGAAACAAAATTTAATATGGAAAATTTCTCATTGTATCAAGCCCCACGCCATCCTGCTAAAACACCTGGTGTCATACGTGGTACCAATAGGATGGCCTGTAATGTTGTCTCTAAAGAAACTGAACAAAGAATTCAACTGTTTCTTACTTTTTCTCAGATGTGTCAACCCTGCTGAATGACTCAGCCTATGACAGCAATGATCCAGATGTTGAACCCACCAGTGCCCACAGCCCCTCCAGCATGCAGCCTCAGGTACCCACTGCCATGGCTGCTGGTTTGGACAACAAGGGGGGACAAGTCACCTGTAAGTTAAGCCAGGAACCCATTGTTAGCACAGTAGCCAGGCTGAAAAGCTCCCTCAGCCAGCGGGCAGACAGGAGATTCTCAGAACCCAGCAGGCCACCCTCACAGGAGTGCCTTGAGGGCTGGATGACAAACCAAAAACTGACCAAAAGTGAGGACAACTTCACCCTGGCCAGGGCAGGCTCTTGTTTTGAAAGTGAGGAAGCTGAAGATCCATTTCCAGAGGAGGTGTTCTCTGCAGTAGAAGGCAAAACCAAGAGATCTGTAGACCTGAGGATCAAGAACCTGACCCAAGGTTTGGCATCACCTCAGGGAGTGGTACCCAAAGCCCTTTCCAGTGGCTCCCTTGATGGGTCCTCTGACTGCTCACCTGTGGGTTCTCCTTCCTGTCCCAAAAGAAGTATCTTCACCAGACATCAGTCTTTCACCTCAAAGAATGACAAAAGCAAGCCCAACAGAGAAATTAAAAAGCATTCCATGTCATTCTCTTTTGCCTCTCACAAAAATGTACTGCCCAAAGCACCCACCTTTGGATCTAGGAAATCAAAGGACCTTACCAGAGACCAGGTCAAGAAGAGTCTGAGGAAAGAAAGCCAGCTAGCTGGTCGAATTGTCCAGGAAAATGGGTCTGACCTTCACAGCCAAACAGCTCTAGGCTTTGGCTTTCCATTCTGGGCCCTCGCAGGTGACGATGTGTTCCAGAGAGTTGATGGCACAAGTCTTGGTAGCCCACCACCTTATGAGGAGGCCATTCAGTGCCAGGCATTGGAACTCGGGACCTACGGTGGCCAGACCGTTGGAAGTATGAGGGCAAGAATGCTCAGCCAGGACTCCACACAGTCATCTCTTCTGCCTTCTTACCATGGAAGGGACTCAAGGAGCAGCTGCAGTATGGAGACACATAGTGGACACAGAAGGTCAGCCACGGCTGAGTACTGCAGACAGAGCAGGACTGTCAGTGCATCTGTGGAAACTCAAGGACATGTGACTACACCAGGGAAACCTGAACATCGGCTGAGGACCATGTCCGAGTCTGTTCAGAAGGATAAATGGGACTATCTCAGACAACGATGTAGTCAGCCAATCTTTGAGGCTGACCAACTCCAATATATTAAAGAATCCTACATTTAGGAGGGGATACCACATACCATGATCAGTTGTGGTGTCATGGTGTGTCTCTGTATATACATGACTGTATAAAGATGTGTGTAGGTTATTATTTTCAAAAAAAGTCATGAATAAGCTCATTTAAATCATCATGCAGAATTCTATTCTGTAAGGCTAGCTACGTGGTGTGCATCAGATAGTGTCTGTGCATACCCGGGTTTGTGCAATACCTAACAAATGTAAAAAGTGTATTATACACAAGATGTTACATGCAAAAGGGTCTACATGAATTCCCACAAACCTTTGTTTGTGTAATTGTGCACTTGTAGTACATTGCTGTTCTTTGGTCCCTGGGGCGTTTGTCCCATTGGTTAGTGTTTAAAATATCTTTGATCTTTTTAATGTTGCTTCAAATGTCATGTCAATTCTCACATTTTCTACAAATTCCACTGAAGGGAAACTGTTTAAATTTCTGGTAGAAGTTTATCCTTGGGGTGTCCTTGGAGTAACTATATAATGTAGAAGAAGAAAGACTGCAAGCATTTAGCATTTGGGGTCATCAATGGTATTAGGAGAAGAAAAAATGTTAATAAAATTATGAAAAATATATGTGTCCTTTCAAACATCTGATTAAATTGGGAAATGCATTACATCGATATGATTTAATCAATGATAAATGATAATTCATGTGATAAATGAATTTAGTGTATTTTGAGTTTCTGTGTAGTTCAATGGTGTCTTATGCTATAGCATGGAGGTAAATGATTTTATGTACATTGGGGGTAATATATAAAACTTCAATGTAATTTCACTACAATAAATTGCCTTCCTTATTTAAAAGTAAAAGTGTTCATTCATTATTGGCATGCTACCATCTTTTCCTCAGTGAATAGAAATCCAGCAAGAAAATTAATCACACATGGGTTCATTAAACAAACATTCAATGACTATATATTCATCATTCTAGACTAATAGGCAAGCCTAGAAATCTGTGTTTAGGAAAACACAGTCCCTGTTCTCTGAAAGTTTGCAAAATCATAAAAATGTGCCCACTTTAAGTCACCTTTTCAGCAAGCAGTCACTTGGAGGCCAGAAAAATTTAGTACGCCAAAATAGGATAATATAGTAAATGTAGTATTTCCCATTTCTAGTGAATCAGGCTTTTCAGTACTGTTGTGCATACATATCTTTCTTCATTTTATGATTTTCAATTTGCTTAAGTATGCTGATCATAATAATAAACTGTTAATGATATATTAGAATTTTACTGACCACTGATTAATGTACTTTGCCAGTATCTTAGAACTGAAGGACTTAAGTTTTCTTTATTTTTAAATTTTTTCATAAAACACTCTGTATGCTTTGGATCTGTTACAGAAACATTTTTATATTAGCTAGATACTAGATAATGAAGACCTACTGTTTTCCAAGGTGATTTATTAATAATATTGTACAAACTTAGCCATGCTGTGAGCCAGATTACTCATGGAAGCATGCATAGACCTCATATTAAAAATATTCTGTTAAGCATCAATAACACATAAATTTTAAGGAGTAAACCCTCTCCTTCTGGCTGCTAAGTGAAGAAAAACAACTCCTTTTCAGGTTGAGCACTACTAGAGATACAATTTTAGCATCTACTATGTACCAGGCACTATACTAAGTTCTCACTGGACATTGTCTGCCCTCTATGTGTATGTGTTCCCAAAGTCCCCCTTCTTATAAGGACACTGACCACACTGAATTAGGGCTCACTGTAATGACTTCATTTTACCTCCTTAAAGACCCTATTTCCAAATATAGTAGCATCCTGAGGCACTGGTGGTTAGGACTTCAGTGCATGAATTTTGGTGGTGGTGCTGGTGATGGTGGTGGATCCAATTCATCCTATAACACCAAGTTTTACCTAATAGCATTTAATGATACTTTGATTACATCAAAATTTTTTAATATCTTACCATAAGCACAAAGCTAAGTCTTTTATTTTTTCTTTTTTGTCTTTTTTGAGACAGGGTCTCACTATGCAGTTCAGGCCGGCCTTGAACTCACTTTGTAGCTCTGGCTCATCTCAAACTCACTACAATCCTCTGGCCTCAGCCTCCCTGGGATTACAGGTGTGAGCCACCACAGCCAGCAAGGCTAAGTCTTACAATGAGATTTGGATGATATTACCGTGGTACTTTAGTCCAAGATCTAAGAAGACCAGAGCTCTGTCATCCGAGGACAGCCTAAGGGCCTATTCAATGACCAGTGGTGTAATCACAAGTGTGCCTCATGCACCAAAGCAAGGTGTCTAGTAATACCAGTTGAAAGTCAAGGCCCAACCAGGATTTAAACCCAAATCTAGTTTTGATCCCCTGAGAAATTTTCTCTCCTCCTTTAAAGAGAGGAAGGGCTGTGTTGACACAATGCCCTACGATTATTTACAGTGACTCACTCTGCCCCACCCCCAGCAGTATCCTGGACTGAAAGAAATCAAAGCTTGATCTAGAAATATTGACTTGGGGAAATTAACCAAGACTAGATTTATCTGCAACCACCTCACAGCTCAAACCCAACAAATACCGCAGTGGCTCTGCACTGGGTCCCACAGGAGTTAAGTAGCAGCTAGGGTCTGCAGCACCAGTAAGTCAAACAGTAATGGCCATAGTTCTTTCAGAGATGGCCAGAGATGAGACTGTCCAGAGAGCTGTTATAAATGTTGTTTACTCTAATGCATGATTAAAAGAATAAATAGATGAGTATCCCTGATTGTGATCTCCTAGAAAGAACCACCAGTACATACTTTTCTCCTAAAGGGCCAAGCACACAGAAACCCACATGAGATGAGACCTTGCATAGCTGGAATTCTTTTTTAATTGAATTATATAACCTTAACTTTTCATCCACAAAGAGAGAATTACTGAGGAGTGAGAAGTATACATATTTCTGCCAGAGGTAAGAGTGAATCACTTTCTAGCCATATTTCAAATGTGGATTGAGACCCTGCACTTTGTCCACTCTAGAATACAAATAAAATGTAAGTGAGAAAAAATTGATGGAGTGAAGCACTGCTTTCCTCCTATTGTGGGCCAAAAAGAGGTGGGCACTGTGAAACAAGCAAACCTACAGAGGCAAAATCTTGCCAGAAAAAGGAAATACAGAATGTTAACATCTCTGTGGGAAGAGAAAGACAACATGTTGACATAGAATCTGTGACCTGAATTCACAGAACCTGAGTCTTTGAACTCCCCAAAATCTGCCCCTATAAGCAAGGCACTGAACCTGTCAAGCAGCAGTTTCTCCACCTCTGAAATGAAGAGATAATAACATGCATCCATTGTGGAATGCGTAGAACAGACAACCCAGACAAGGGACTTACATAAGAAGGAGGAGTGTGCTCCTCTTGAAAGAAAAGCAAGCAGCCAGACATGGTGGCACATGCCTGTAATCCCAGCATCTGAGAGTTGAGGCAGGAAGACCAGGAGTTTGAGGCCATAGGGAGCTCAAGGCCACCTGAGCTACATAGTGAGACCCTCTCTCAAAAAATCAAAGGAAGAAAAAAAGAAAGAAAGGCAGACTGGGAGTCCAGGGCCTGAATGGAGACTCCATAACAACCTCCAGGTCCAGGTCCCTGTGTGTTCAGAGACAGCTTCATACAGCTGAGACAGTGGGCCCCAGCTGGGATAATGTCCTGCCACTGGCATTTTTAAATTTTAATAATTGTTGAACAAAGGGCCCTGCAATTCCACCATACTCTGTGCCTTGCAGATTATTTAGCAAGTCTTGTTTATATCTTCCAGCTTTCTATTCCACCATCCTTTCTTTGAGTATGATTCTCTCTCCAAATTTAAAAAACTTTAATTTTATTATTCCTTTTCCCTGTGATTGGGATCTTAAATGTCCCCCAAAGGCCCACAAGCTAAAAGTTTGGTTGCCAGCCTATGGCACTATGGGGAGGTACTAGAACCTAGGAGATGGGGCCTAGGGGGAGGAACTAAGGCCATTGTGGGTACCCTTCCTTGAAGGTTCCAAGGTTCTTCCTGTCTCTTTCTTTGCTTCCTAGGCATCAGTGAGGTGAGCAGATTTGATCCATCATGCACTCCAGTCATGGCATTCTGCCTCAATATATGCCCCAAAGACAGTGAAGTAAACTACCATAAACTGAGACCTCTGAAACTGAGAGCCAAAATAAGTCATTTCTCCTTTTAAGTTGATTATCTCAGGTATTTTGTCACAGCGACAGAGAGCTGACTAATATACTTTCTTAACTGCATTTTTACTTTTTTTTTTTTTTTTTTTTTTTTTTTTTTTTTGTCTTTTTGAGACAGGGTCTCTCTATGCAGTTCAGGCTGGACTTGAGCTCACTTTGTAGCCCAGCATGGCCTTGAACTTGAAGTGATCCTCCTGCCTCAGCCTCCCAAGTGCTGGGACTACAAGTGTGCACCATCATACCCAGAACTTTTCATTATTAATAATAACTACTTTAGCTATATCTCAGATCCTGAAAATAACACACATATTTTATATGTTATATATAGTTACACTATTATGTATGCATATATTACGTATGCATAATTAGCTGTTGTGATTGGGGGTTTTTTGACAGAAAGATACCAGAAAGTTAAGGAAAGAAATAAATTAATTTACTTAGAATGGGCCTGGATTAAAAAGATTCTTATATGGTAAGTATAGGGCTTTGAAATTCAATAAAATTAACACTGAAGATTTTTGGTTAGGAAAGTAACAAGACATATGTTATACAGGTGTGAACAGACCACACAGTAGCAGTTTTCTTACATAATGCTCTGCTTTTTTCATGAAAATTTTGAATGGGAAAAATCCTTTTCATTAAAGATAAAAAAAGAAAGTCTTAACTATTTCCTTCTCATGATATAGCCAAATCCTACAGCCAGCTAGAAACTCTTTAAAACATTCCTAGACAACAAAGCACAGTTGAATAAACAGAAACACTTTCTGTACTTTTGGAGAGTAAAATATAAAAATCACAAAATATGTCAAGTTTCTCTAGGTTAATTTATAAGTTGAAGGTGATCTTGATTAAAGAACAACAGGGATTATTTGCAGGAAGGAGTGTTGCTTAATGGAACTAGACAAACTGAGTCAAAGAACATGTTTTAAAAAAATAAGCACTGGGCCAGGGTTATAGCTCAGCGGCACAGAGCCTGCCTAGTAAGCGCAAGGTCATGAGTTCAGGTCCCAGTACCAAAAAAATAAAAAAAATAAAAAAGATAAGCACTAACAAGGAAGAGAACTTCACCTAGAAAAGAGGAGCAATGAGGAAAATGTAGCCTGGCTTCATTCTAAGCCACAGGTAACTCTTAAACAAGCGGGTGCTAGAGCTTGAGGAGATCCCAAATCGACAGAACGGAATAGAAGCAAGCATACAGAACTTCAGTGTATGAAGCTGGTTATTCAGACCAGTGAGGAATATAAACATAGTTCAATAATGGGTTTATATAATGAATGGTCATCTGAGAAAAAAATTAGAGCCATATCTCACAATATATGCAGATTAAATTTTAGATGGAGTGAAGATTTAAATGGGGACGTGAATCACAGTTCTAGGAGAAATAAGTGAAAAAATCCCATACAATCTCAGAGCAGGAAAAGCCCTTATAACATGACTCAAAATCCAAGACATTAAATATAACGACAAGTTAAAAACATAAAAATGGAAAACATCTTAATTACAAGAGTAAAACATCATACACAAAATTTTAAAACAATGATAAATCAGAAAAACATTTGCACCTCATCTAACAGTAAAAGAACTAATTTTCTTAATATATAGAAAGTTGTTGTTAAATGATAAGGAAAAGGAAAGATCTGCATTAAAAATGTGC